CGAAAATGGCTGCCGCTATGGAGGAAACTTCACTGAACGGTAAGTTTAGGGCCAATTGGAACGCATTAAACGATGTTTAATGCGTTCCAATGGACTTTTACATTCCGTTTAGCAACGATTTCACATAGCGAGGGTTAATCCGGAACGGATTAACCTCGCTATGCGGGGCACCACTGTAATTCAGTATCAGCGGTGAGGCAAATCTCCCTGGCAGGAAGAAAAATGAAATGCATAAATACAAATTACTCAGTGGCTGTTGCTTAGAGTAGTAAGTTGCAACTAGAGAAAGTCCACTGAATCAAAGGAACTGACTCACCATATCTCCACTGCTTCCGTGGGCCTACTCTAGTTGTGACTTAGTATGCTCAGCAACAGGATTTCAGCCACAAATTGCTTAAAAAGTAGCAGTGGAGAACAGGTAATCCTTCAGATTTTGTTGGACTACAGCTCTCATCAGCCATAAACAACATAGCCAATAACAAGGGATAATGTAAACTGTAGTTCAGTAAAATCTTAGACCACAAATTCCCCATCCTTGGTTTGAAGAATACTTTGATGGATGTCCATCACAATTCTATAATCAGAAGTTTCAATTCAGCACCAGAGCCAGGGTGAATTTGATTTAAATCACAATGTAAATCAAATATTCAGATTTTTTGACAATTTAAATTAATTTTTAAAATAAAATGATTCAAACCAAGTTGATTTTTTTAAAAAATCATCGATTTTTATCCACCCTGACCAGAGCTCATTTGTTAGTTGTAGTCCAAAACCAGGAACTAATATGAGTTAAACCAGGGCATCATACTCGTCATCATTCCAGTCTTATACTGCAGTAATAGCAGCTGTACTGAGACCTACCATGAGACATAAGTCTTACTGAGCAGCTTCAGCAGCATCAAATTCAATTTATTCTTAAGTGGATAATTTCCAAGCAAACCCGAAACAGTCATATTTGACTTCATCTTAAAAAAGGGGGGGACTGATAAAAAGGAATTCAAAAAGAAACTTCAAGGAAGTCAAATTACACCTGCTGGCTTGGAGGTTACTCAAAATCACAATACTGTACTTGAAATTTAGCTATATTGCATGCCACATATCAGCAAAGATATTACTGTATTTAGATCCAAAAGGTCACCAGCAATATTAAGAAGGCTACTGAAGAAAAGGCTTTCTTCACAAAACCCTAAGTTTATTCCCCAATAAGGAAGGTGAAAAGCAACACAAATTTGCAGAAAAGAAATAGAGTACATTACAAAAATAAACACAAAAGCCCACCTTTAATGGGATACAACTAATAGGTAATAATGCTGAAACCAAAAAGAAAATATATTTAAACTATTTAAATAGAATCATAGAATAGAACCATAGAATAAAGAAGTTGTAAGGGGCCTATAAGGCCATCAACTCCAACCCCCTGCTTGTTACAGGAATACAAATCAAAGGATATCTGCCAGGTGGTTGTCTTAAGTTTTTCTTAACTGCATCCAGTGTTGGAGCACTCACCACCTCTCAAGGTAACTGGTTCCACTTTCTTAATGTTCTAACAGTTAGCACATTTTCCTGATTAAAATCTGGCTTCCTGTAAATTGAGCCCACTGCTGTGTATCCTGCACTTTGCTACGATCAAGAATAGATCCTGCCCCTCCTCTGTATGACAGCCTTTCAAGTACAGTAGGGTCTTGACTTGAGAACTTAATCCGTATTGGAAGGCGGTTCTCAAGTCAAAAAGTCTGTAGGCCAAGTCTCCATTGACCTACAGTGCATTGAAAACCGATTAATCCCGTAACAGGCCGTTTTTGTTCCGTTTTGTTTTTTTTCTGGTCTGTAAGTCAATTCTCAGGCTGCAAGTCAAACCTAAATTTTGCGGCCAGAGAAGTCTGTAACTCAAAAAGTCTGTAAGTCAAGCCATCTGTAAGTCAAGTGTATTTGAAAAGTTTCATCATATTACTCCTCTGTTTTCTTTTCTCAAGGCTAAACATGCCTAGTTCTTTCAGTCTTTCCTCATAGGGCTACATTTCCAGCCTTGCTGCTCTCCAGATCATCCTTGCTGCTCTCCTCTGAACTTGTTCCAATTTGTTAGCATCCGTTTTGAAGTCTGATGTCCAGAACTGGACACAATACTCAAGGTGAAGCCTAACCAGTGCTGAATAGAGGGGAACTAGCACCTTATGGAATTTTAAAACTATACTGCTGTTAATGGACCTAAAATACCATTTGCCTTTTTTGTAGCCACCTCAGTCATTGTTGGCTCATATTCAGGCTTGTGATCTACGACAATTCCAAGATCCTTCTTGCTCATTTGATGAGCCAGGTATCCCCCATCTTGTAACTGTGTAATTGGTTTCTTTTTCCAAGGTGCAGTACTTCGCATTTATCCCTGTTGAATTTCATTCTGTTGTTTTCAGTCCGGTGCTCCAGCCTATTAAGATCATTTTGAATTTTGTTTCTCTCTTCCCAGTTATTAGCTATTCCACCCAATTTTGTGTCATGTGCAAATCAGAGAAGCATTCTCTGCACTCCCTCATCTAAGTCATTAATAAAAATGTTGAAGAGCACCAGACCCAGGAATGGGCCTTGGGGTACCCCATTTGTTACCTCCGCCCAGTTGGAGAAGGAGCCATTAATCATCAACCTCTAAGTAAGATTCTGTAGTCAACTGCATATCCACCTGACACTTGATCTATCCAGCCCACAACTAGTTAGCTTGCTACTCAGGATATCATGGGGCACTTTGTCAAACATTTTGCTAAAGTCAAGATGTACTATGTCTACAGCATTCCCTCTGTCTATCAGGGTGGTTACCGGACAAAAAAATTACATCAGATTAGTCAGGCAGGATTTGTTCTTGACAAATTCGTGTTGGCTTCTAGTTATTACTAAACTGTTTTCTAGGTGCTTGTAAAGTGACTGTTTTATAATTGGTTCCAGAATTTTCCCTGGAATTGACATCAGATTGACTGGCCTGTAGTTCCCAGGTTCCTCTTTTTTGGCCTTTTTGAAGATAGGGACAACATTAGCCCTTCTCCAGTCATCTGGTACCCCACCCGTTTCCCATGATTTTAAGAAAATAATGGATAGCGATTCTAAGAGTTCTTTAGCCAGTTCCTTCAGTACTCTTGGATGCAGTTCATCTGGCCCTGGAGACATGAACTCATTCAAGGTGGTAAGGTATTCCTTGACTATTAGTTTATCAATCAATCTCCAGCTGCAATCTTTGTCCCCCTCTACTTGCACTTTATAGAAGAAATACATCAGCAGTAAAAAACAAAGTAGTGAAGCTGCCTCTCACCAGTCAGTGAGTAACAAGGCAATTAATGTACTGTATTTATTTGTTTCTTTTATATTCCACCTTTCCTCCAACAAGGGGCAACAGCATCCACAATAGTGCTGTTTTAATTTTTAAAAGATGTTATTGTCCATCTCATGATGGTGGTTGTGCTAATGCAGTAAGGTAAGAATATATTCCCAGTATACATGAATAACCTGTTGGACTGAGATTGCTAGGATTCTAGTACCTTCACAAATGTCTACAGTGGTGCCTCACATTATGATGATAATCCGTTCCAGCGAAATCGCTGTAGAACGAAAACGTCATAAAGTGAAATTAAACCCATAGAAACGCACTAAAACCCGTTTAATGCGTTCCGATGGGCTGGAAACTCACTGTCCAGCAAAGATCCTCCACAGGGCGGCCATTTTTGCTGCCTGTGCAGCGAGGAATCTGTCCCAGAAAACAGTGGGGGGACCATTTTGTTTACCTGGTGGCCATTTTGAAACCGTCAATCAGCTGTTGGAAAATCGTCATTTTGTGAAGAATCGGTTCCCGAAGCAGGGAACCGATCATCACAAAGTGAAATTCCCCCATAGGAAACATTGTAAAGCGATCGCAAAAGCGATCGCAAAATGTTCGCCGTAATGCGGTTTTGACGTTAAACGGAGCGATCGTAAAGCGAGGCACCACTGTATTTGCATAAAAATAGGTGTAAAAACAAGTGTCTTCTTGCTCATCCTAAAGCAGTGAGTGGGAACTGACTGCAGATCTAAGCATGTACATAATGCAGTCTGGGAGACTACTGTACAGAAGAACGGCCTTTCCATGAA